AGACGTGGTTGTTCCAGCTTGCGGGACTGGCCTAAGGGATTTTAAAGGGGTTTTAATTAATTTTAATCTGATGAGTTTAAATATTTCTTTTTAATCAATTTTAATAGGTGTATAATATGTCTGTATTTTATCTAATTGTTAGCCGCCCTGAGTCCGTAAGGAGAAGGGCGGGATATAAATGTAATTAATAAATAAATAATAAATAAATAAATTCCAGGTAGAAGACAAAACCAGTGATATTTTGTATGCCCCCCTCGGTCAATGTAAGTCTAGGCTGCTTTATAAATCTGATTGATTAAGTATTTGTATACTTTAGGTTCATTTTTATAGAATATTGAATATTAGGGAAAGACAATCTCAATTCATATGTATTGACACTTGTTTTATATTATCATAGAATTTGCTGATATACAAAAAGCAAGCAAAGAGCCAATTATGTTTATTATCTATTTTTTATTTTTTATACAAACAATAGGAGGGAACAAAGCAGATGCTATGGCAGAGTCAACATTCAAACCATTTCAAAATTAGAAATCTACGCATTATTTCATCCCAATCACCTGGCAATCATAACTAGCATAAGGCCCCTACTGCCCCAAGTCATCCCATTCAAGCACTGCGTAGTTTATCTAGGACAGCACAGCTAATGTATTTTCAGATTAAAAGATTTTTTTTCCTTTCTTATCAAAGAATCCATCTTAAACTTAACAAGATGAAATTAAGTCCTATACAAAAAAAAAAAGTTACTCAGCCCTGGAGTGCACAGAACTGCTGAAATATAGCCAGTATGTGATGATCCAATTCTGCAGTAAATAGAAGGTTCTCCAAGGTCACCATGTACTGTTGGATGATCTGATGATGCTAAGACACAAAAAAGCATTTCAGTTAAGTTTGGAAATGACTTAGCACCTTAAATAAAAAACATATCTATCTAAAAAGTATAATCTCTTATTTATATTTTCCATTTCTTTGATATTTATGATAGCTATAACTACACTATACACTATGTGCAACTCTTGCCAACAAAACGAAGAACAGAACCAGGATTTGAACTCTTAGAAGGTGGACAATTTTAATTATGAAATTAGAAGCAGGAGATTTTCATCATGCCAACTGTTTTACATAGATATGAAAGGTTAAATGGTGATTGTAAAATATTATCTTCTTTATACATATTACTGTGCAATTTCCAGAGCACTGGACAATGAAATCAATCAAATCAATAAAAGTACTGTATAAAATAAATAGAAATGATAAGATTCCTAATTTTTTAATTCCAACAGCTCGTCTCCAGTTACAAACCTTACAAATAAATCATAAAGTTTCAACTTTGATCCCAGGCAAGCTTTTTTGAGAGGGCTTTCCATAATTATGCCAGCACCACTCTCTATTGACCATGTATCTAATTTTAGATAAGAGGGTTTGAATCTTGTTCTTATTAGTTACTTACTTAGAATCTTCAATGAAAGACCAAGGATTGGGAGGCATATTTAAAAGGCAGTCCTGATAATTAAAGGCTTTAATTTAACAGTGGTCACATCTGTGCCCAAAATTTGATGGCAGAAATCATGGCTACTTAGATCACTGAGGTTTTAAGAAAGGAAAAGTCTTAAGTACCCAGTATCAATCTAGGAAGTGCTGTGACTTAATTAGCAACAGACACAACATGCCAATTATGCAAACCCAGATGGACACATAATTACCCTCTGAAAAGTATTTGATAGATCTCAGAAAGGCTCATTGGCTTCTCTTCAGTATCTGAATATGGTGCAAACCGAGATAGGCTGTATCAGGATAATCTCACTTTGAATAACTGCATGAATCCTGACATCTATAAGACTTACCTGTAAGAAAATTTGCTGCAGCCTCTCTATACAGTTCCTGTACCAAGGTGTAATTACATCGATCCCTCCTGTTTCACATCGTACTAGATGTTCAGTTAGGATCATAATAAAACGCTGGAAGGAATAAACAGTGAAATAGCTGGTGTTAGATCCATAGATGAGATAACTATTTTTTTGAGCAGGGGTTAAAAGACACATGAAAAACAGCATCTCCAAATTAAGTAGGATATAATTTAGTACAGAACATCAGCATTAGTAACTGTGGTACCATTTGCTATTTCCAGAACTTGTTGTCAAATGTACAGAATTTTAATTTAGGAATTTATGAAGCTTAAACATTTGTTCCAGAGTTTTGCAGTCACATTAAGATTCTAAGATTGCAAGGGGAGCGGTGGCTCAGTGGCTTAAAGACAGTGGATTTGTCGGCCAGAGAAAGTTGACTCTTTACATTCTAGTTCAAGCCCTAGCACCACATGATGGAGTGAGCTCCCATCACTTGCCTCAGCTCCTGCCAACCTAGCAGTTCAAAAGCATACAAATTGCAAGTGGATAAACAGATACCACTCTGGTGAGACTAGCGGAAGAAGCAAGAAACCAACTGACACTGGCTCAGCCCGAATGCAAAGTGAAAACCAGCAGAGAAAAAGGCCCGGATAACACTGACACTCTGGCAGAACACTGTTGATTAATCTGTTTGCAGAACTAGTTCACCCCCGTGGTGTACCCCGGATAGCAAGCAAACCTGAATTGAACAAACTAGCAATTTTAGGTAGCCAAACTACTACTCTATATTAATACTGTAGATGTCTGACTTTCATGTACCAATGCCACCTGCTAACTAATAAGTCTAAGATTGCCCTTTTCATTGGCTGATCAGTATGTCTGCTTTTACCTGGAATATTACAAGGAAGAGGTTTTTTTGTTCACTTTGAGCTGATTCAACTTTTTCTTGCAAGCGTTCAATCTGTTCTTCAAGGGGCCAACTTTCTCTCTCATTCCTTCGAGAATCATCACGCTGGAGGGAAAGAGTTGAAATTTAACTGATTTTTAAGATGTTTTAAAAATAATCAAGACAGAAAACAAAACAAAAGGCACTGTTGCATGTATAGTCAAAACAAATAGCTTGAACGCATGCAGCAGTTTTCTCCTGTACACTGAACTGGCAAATAAAGTCATTTATTTATCTAAATTGCTTTGGTGCCTCAGCTATTGTTTTAGATTATGTTTATTATTGTTTAAAAATGTTGCAAGTCTATGAGATAGAAATTGATGATATAAATCATTCATACTCAACTATATAGGGGAGTTGATCACATGTTATCAAGCAACTTGCCCACATCGTGGGGATTCAAAAGTTAAAGTTATCCAGCAATAAAAAGTATCCAAAGATGGTGACCATCACCATCTTTTCATCCTGCTGCCCATCTCTGCCTACCTCAGCAAAACAAAGCAAATCTTATGTTCTTGTAGCTGATGAAATATATTTTAAGTCTTATTTCTTCATACAGTCATGGAAAAAAGTCACCTACTCTTTTCTTTTGCTTGGCTAATCTTTCTTTGGCTTCTTCTAGCTCCTTTTGGATCATCATCACATGCTTGTTCATCTTACGAATGGTAGAGTGTAAGATCTCCCAAATATAAAATCTAGCAATAAAAAAAGCAAAGAGCACTCTGATTTTTGGCAGTAAAAAGGCTGATACAGACTTGTAAATCTAAGCTTTTCTCAGATAATGAGTGAAATGGAGGAAAACACAAGGACAATTGTGCAATTTTCATCTCCGTCTCCTCCCTCTGAGGAGAAATTTCAGTATCAGAATTCTCTGTAAAAAAAAAAAGCATGCAAATTTTCAATAAGATATACAAAAGGTTGCTTACCTTCAGGAAATATTTTTAACTTAAGCAAAATTTCCCTTATTAAGAACACTTATACTTCTATGAGAGATATTTGAAGATACCTGAAGATTTTTTTAAAAAAAATATTTACCTTGTAAAATCATGAGATAGCTCTGGAGAAAAAATCCAATTTGCCACTGCAGCGCAATCCACAATCTGTGTTCGAATCATTTTATCCACCAGTACAGCAATCATCTGTGCAAATGCAGAAACTTTGCTCAGTTCATCAGTACTGTGTATTGCCATCTGGACACAACTTTCAATACAAAGTCACAGACTGAAACTAAACAGGATCTCTCAAAGCACTGTCTCTCTTAAGAGGAAGGACTACCTAAGCTGTCCAGGCCACAGTTATTTATCTTAGCAGAGCCTCGTATCATAATTCCCAAGGGAGGTAGGGAAGGAAGGAGAGAGGGAGGGAGGAAAAGGGAGGAAGGAAGGGAGGGAGGGAGGGAGGGAGGGAGGAAGGGAGGGACTATATAAATGTTCATTCTTACCTGAGAATGATTCTTCCATACTTCATACATCACTCTGAGAATGTGAAGCTTCCCTTCGTCACTTTCAGCCAAAGTTCTGAGGACTTCTCGAAATCTTATAAAAACAGAAATGACACATTCCAAGGATGTCAAGGAATAGAACATGTCTTGATTCTTACAGATCAATTCTTATGGACCCTTGTGATTCAGCTGGGATCAAAAATGGCAAAACTGATTAGGAGGGGAGAGGAAAGAGAAGTGGGCTGGTCTAGTCTCCCAAGATGATTCTGAAGTCTGGATTTCTAGTTTGAGAGATTAGCAGTATTGCCGTGTTGACAAAAAGCTCTGTAACACAGCAGTTCTTCCTGCTATCTTGGCTAGCTATACATTACAGTACCCTATGAATACTCAGCAAGCGAATTATAGAACTCATCTCTTCCCCAAAATCAATGCCAATATTAAACACCCAACCCCCCTCCCCAGTATTGAGACAGAGGTAAGAGACATTTCTTGCCAAAGCAATGAGAGAAAACCATGCCTTAAATCCAAGCCATAGCGGAAGGCATGTGCCAACCCTTTGAAGTAGACGAGACTCGAATGCCAAAGAAATAAATGCTAACACTACTTTCGTTATAGAGTTATAGTAATAGAATCTTACTTCCCTGACATTTCCTAAAGCAGGGCTTTTCAACCAGTGGTACAGGTACCACCTGTGGTACATTGGCACCTGGCAAGTGGTACGTGACCATCCTAGAAAAGTGGTAGTGGGGGAGGGGAATGAGCTGAACCAGTAGCAGCACCGCATAAGCCTGAGCGAGAGATGGCTGGAGCTGCAGGGCTGTCAGGGCTCAGCGGAAGCGCCAGGATCAGCGCTTCTTCGGGGCTGTCAGGGCTCAGTGGAAGCTCCAGGATCAGCACCAGGCTCCAGCTGGAGCTCTGCGTTGATCCTGGTGCTTCTGCTGAGCCCAGAAGAAGCGTCAATCAGCTGGAATGTTGCAGCCTCTCCAGGATCTTGTGATTTACATTCAGATGCTTGGCAACTGATTCATATTTATGACGGTCACAGTGTCCCAGGGTCATGTGAAGTGACCAAAACCTGCTGCAACCACCCAGCAGATGGGGGGAATAAAAACCAAACACCACCCCACCCCACCCCTGCTGCCAATCCTCAACAGAAATGCTCACAACAATGGAAACCTCGGACAGGAGGAAGAGCGCCACTGGGTGGGCAGGCAGGTGTCTTGCTTGGCTGTGGCTTGGGGGGGCACTTTTTTCAGTGCCATTGTAATTTTGAACAGTCACTAAGCGAACTGTTGTAAGTCGAGGACTGCCTGTACTTTATCACTTTTTTCCTTTTTTGGGGGGGGTCATCATGTTTTTGACACCTTGCTAGGCGACTGGTGGTACTCGGATATTGCCATATCCTAAAAGTGGTACAATGGGTGAAAAGGTTGAAAAGCCCTGTCCTAAAGAGAACCAGGGAGGGTCAAGTCTGAGATGCTCCGTTCTGGGGCTCAGATTTCTCTTATCCAACCATAGGCTTGGCTGTAGCTCTCCCTCAAGATTATTCTCACAGTTGATTACAGTATGCAAAAATGTCTCAGACAGACACCTCCCTTAGTCACAGGACGATAAGAGGCAGAGGGCATAAAGCAGAGCCAGACTTCAAAAAAGGAGCTTAGTCTTCTGATTGAGTTGATTTCTTGGCTCGGTTTCCATTATGGGGCTGACATTCTCTCATTGCGTAATTGGACCAGTCATCAGATTTTTCTTCGGCGAGATTGCTTTTAATTTTGCCTATGCCCAAGCTCTATCTACCACTTGACAATCTAATGCAGAAAGGGTTCTTCTGGACAAGCAATTTTTTTTTTTACTTCCCTCCTCCTGAAGACCTTCTTTGGCCATTCTTATTAGCCTGTATCTTGGGCTTAAATACATACAGAGACAACGTTCTGCTGTCCAGGTGAGAAAGGACTGATGAATTTTTTTGTCTATGCTACAGTGTGGGAGAAAGCAGCTGAATGCAAGACTCATCCAGACAGGTGGAGATAAAGATCTCAGGAATCAGAGACTATACAGGAATCAATCCATTTTAAATAGTAGATTAAAGAAAAGTAGATAATATGACTATTTTTAATACACAATCAAAAATAAAGAACACAACACACTTGCTTCTTCTATCTTCTTTTTCATAGTTACAATACAAATAAAAATAAAATGGCAACAATATGAATGCATTGACAGTTTAATATACTTAATGATAAATACTTACTTTCCCAGAGCACTGAAGGAGTGACTGAATGACTTTGACGCGAAGTGCAATAGTGCCTGGACAAAAACTTCTATTTTTAAAGGATTGAATGAGAAGCCTTCATCTGGAAAACAAAGTTACAAATACAAATGAATCCCTGTAAGCAAGGTAGGCATTCACTAAAGGCTGAGAGGGACTGAGAATTTTTACTTTTCTATTTAAAAAAATAAACCGGAGAGGAAATTTCATAATAGGCTTTTCTTACAATTACATTCATACAAATTAAATTACATANTATATCAATGTGTGAATGTCAGACGTATACTAAGATATATGATAAAACTGAATTGAAACTCATGGATGAAGCCAATTCTTAGTATATAGCAGCTAGTGTCTGAAAAATCATGGTCTTTCCCACAATCTCCTAGTCTCAACTTCCTATTTTATCCAAAATGTGGCAATTTTCCTCCTCCTATCTGACTTGAAGCATTTCCCTTTTCCCATTCTGATTCTATAGTGTCATTCTGTTTAAAATACCATAAATGTAAAGGCACATTTGCTTGTTTGTATGTATGGAGTGGTGCTGGATATCAACAGTCCCAGGTAAATACAATTCTACTGAGCTAGTACAAATTGCTGTATGAAAATAAGAACTGGAGCCATATTCTAAATTTAACTAAAACCTAACTAACTTCCCTGAGGTTTTGCAATGTTTCCATAAATGGAAATTAGCAATGGAACACGGTAAATACCAGAAGGGCTTACCATCATCATCATCCTGATTCAGATTGGGCACATCCTTCAGAATGGCGAAGATTTCATCATTACTTGCTTTGTTTTTAATGGCAATGCTTACACAGAGTGCAACGTTGTATCCAGGAAGAGATTCTACATCCAAAGATAGAAGAAGCAAAGTTTCCAGCGTTGAAAACTGGGCATTTTTGAAACATTTTTTACACGCAAGCTTTTACAAGTTTACATTTTAAAAGCGCATTAAATTTGCTTGGAAATCAACCATCTCAGAGAAATCATCAGACCAGATATATAAGATTGAATTAAAAATATTAGAGGGTTTTACATGTCTTGAGGAGCGTTTCAGAAGAGAAGCCACACCTTTAAGTAATGTCCCCTTGTGTCATCGTGACCACTAGGCTTTGGATGGTCCTTGGGTGGCACCATCTCATACCTGCCCAGCAGCTTTCTTTAAATGGAGTTTCTTATTGCTTCCCCCACCTGTTTTAATAAGACAAAATACCATTTCCCTCCAACAGTAACAAATACTCCTTGTCACAGTCCAAGGTTTTTTTTTGTAAAGTGTAAATTATATAAATATCATCTTCTACATACTGTTACTTTCGTCTCCATATTTATAAATACATGCTGGATTTGCCGGAGTAAGGACTGAAAAACTAGCAGGAACGATATCTATTATTCGCTGATGGTAGGAAAGCCTGAAAAAACAAAGATTATTTTTTTTTGCCACAATTATGTCACATGATTATGGTTATACTACAGATGTAACCCAACCAATCATTCATTACTTGGCATACATACATGCACTGGTAAAACACCCCAAAGCTGATATCTACACCCTGATCCTGAATGCACAGAAGAAGTTCCTCATAGAACTAGGACTGTGCCTGAACTATAATTTGTCAGAAATAGGGAAATGACAAGCTTCCTTGGGATTTTAATGCAATCTTCTTTCCTTTTCTTTGCTTGAAGAAAGCTTGTTGCCAATCTCTCTGCTTAAAAAGAGAAAGACAACAAAGTCTGCTGAACTTGCAGAAGTGGAAGAGAATTTTAGTTAAAGGGATATGAAATTTCAATTAAGAGCAAAATACATTTTGTAAGCTAATATGGCATGGAGAAAGAGTGCTCAAATAAGGGCACCAGAGAAAGTTAGGGATAAAAATATCCCTCCTATTGTCTTGCTATTAATTTGACTACCTGCAAGTGCAGCCCTCTATCTACCCAAACCTCTAAAATTCTGGAAATTATTTAATATTCTTAAATTCACTTAGTCTTCTACAATTTTAATTTTATTTTCTTGCTAATTAAGTTAGTCCTCAAATAAATCATGTTTTCCAAACTCTTAGAAGATAGTGCTTCTAGTGCCTAGAAACTAACTATAAACAGGCATGTTCTGTTTATAAAACAGGAAAGAAATGGTCAAGGAATCAGTATGCTTCTTCTGTATATATCTCAAATAGGTTCCATAGTTTTGATCATAGGATGATGGTTTTGGACTGAAGATTTTAATTAGAGAAGAGACAGACATTCCTAGGTGCGACCTGGAGGTGAATATTGGAATGGAGCCCCTGCTGTGAGAAACTGAGAGCATTCCTGCCTGCTAATTCCATGTGAGAATAGTGATTGTTGGGAATCAAGTATTGCATTTTTGGTTAAAACAGGACTAATTACTATGGAGACGAATTAAAGAATGTGGATGGTATATTAGCTAACAAATGGGACTAGACAGAACAGGATTCTAATATCAGGTTTTAAAATCATGTTGATCCTACATTCCTGATTCCTTTGCTGCTGTCAAACAACTACCAACCAATCCCATTGGCACCGCACCTGCATAACACAACTTTGCAGTATTGGCCTCTCCCCTGAATATTTAGATCAATTAACCTGGAAAAAGCCAAACTAATAATAAAAGAGAATCAGGGATACTGATTGCTAAAATGGTATCACCGGTGCCCCAAAAGTCTATTGCCAATTCTCAAACAGATGCAAGCTCCCTATTGTGGGATACTTATACCAGGGATCCCCAACCTGTGGGCCATGGCCCACAATCGGGCCACGGGCTCTTGGCCAGTGAGCTGCAAAAATGGCTGGCTGGTGCATGCACACTCCCCCCACTCACGCCAGTGCCTCCATTTGCGTATGTGCATGGGCACAAATGGGGCCCCTAGTCCCGGGTGGGTGTGCGCGGCCTATATGCACATGCACACAGCCACGAACAGGGCCACTAGCCCCGGATGGGTGTGCATGGCCCATTTGCGCATGCACAAACAGGGCCGCTAGTGCCGCACCAGTGCACGTGGCCCAGTTTGTGTGCATGCGCACCAATTTGGAAGCTGCTCTCCTTCCCTCCGGGCCGCGAGCCCAGAAAGGTTGGAGTCCTCTGACTTATACAATTTAACACTAGGCAAATATAGATGGCCCTTTTCTGTAGCCTGGTTTGATGCCCTCCTGTCAGCTCTACTGGAGATACAATTTAATGGGATTGCTCACTTTGCCCTTATGGATCCAGGAAGGTAGAAACTCTTGCCCATGTCCTCATATGGGGCCCTTTCTTTGATGCTCCAAGACGTGCTCTGATTGTCCCAATCACTTCCAAATATGAGGGTCGTACAGATAAATTTTGTGCTTATTATATTTTAAGGGATACCAACCCTACAATAGCAATAGCAATTAAACTTGTATACTGCCCCACAGTGTTTTACAGCACTCTCTGGGCCGTTTACCATGTCATCATATTGTCCCCAACAATCTGGCTCGTTTTACAAATCTCGGAAGGATGGGCAGGCCGAATCAACCTTGAGCCCCATCAGGATTCAACAACAGGTTATGGGCAGAGCTAACCTGCCATACTGCATTTTAATCTCTGTGCCATCAGGGCTCCTCTCACATATCAGGTGACCAGATATTTTCACCAAGTTATATAACAGTGCAAATTTTTTTTATTAGATGTGCTGTTTTATTGTCTTATTATTATTTGCCTTCCCCAATAAGTAATTGATATATTAAACTATTTCTCCTTTTACTGTACTATTCTATTGTAAAGGCTGGTCAAAGAAAGATGTCTCTATTTTGACTCTGGCAAACATCCCTTAGAATTTGGAAGTAAGAATTTAACAGGGAGATGCAAACATGCATGTGAAATAGACAATATGTCTTAGAATGCAGGATCAGTGGATGGGAAGAGTGGATGACAGGATGGGATAAAGAATGGAGATCAGGGTAGTGAAGATAATAATGCAGTGGAGATGGTTGTTCAAGAAGTGTGCATGTGGCAAAGCAAGAATAGGGTCACAAATAGCTCTATGCTGAAGGAATGCAGACAGACTTCAAGACAGAATAAACCTACCGATTGCAAAATAAATGTAAGGAGGGGGTTTGGACAAAGAGAAATAATAAATGAGGTCTGAACAGCAAGAAAAGTGAATGTGACAACAGGAAAAGGAAGACTGAGTAATTGCAATTGGGTGAGGTGGACCAAGCTGATACGGTAGATCAAAAATGATCTCTGCGGTATAGTGCATTCAGGAAGCTTTCCTCTTCTTTTTATTCCTCCATGTCTTTAATTTCTTTTGCTTTTTCTATTTTACTCTTTTTCAGTACTTGCATAACACTGCTTATACCGACAGAAATAGCATGGTGGATAACGTATACAAATGCTGCTATCTCTCACTCACCTCATGCATTTTTCCAGTACTTCTTTTACAAACTTAGGCTTGGGTCTGTCAAGAACCTCAGAAACAGAATCTGACCTACATATAAAAAAAAGATGGTATTCAGAAAAGGGAAGATTTTATGGCAACTAGATACTTTCATGTTCATAAGATAAGTTTTCTACATTTTTATAGCATCACCATTTCTAGGATATTAAGGATACGCAGAACTGGAGTTTTACTTATAATCCACAGTTAGTATTTAAAAAAACTATCTTCAATTATTTAAAAGGTCAGAAAATGTATCAACTTTGTAATGAAACTATTCTGTAGGATTTTCTACCACTTGGGGTGGTATCTGCCACCCTATCTACTTTTCTACTCATCCATCAATTCATCCAACCATCTTATCCATCTATGTTTCTGTTCACTCTGTGCCAAAATATCCCACAGCAGTTTACAATACAAACTGTAATAAAATGTGTAAAATTAATATAATGAAATATTGTAAAATCTCACTAAATCAAACCATCATTTAAAAAGTCAGGAGAGAGAAAAGAAAACATTTTTTCAGCATTTATACAGATCAGGCCTGGATAAAAAACTGAATTTCAAACTCATCCTAAAATATGGCACTCTGGAGCATGGACAGAAATACACTGAAGGGCTCCATGCTGCCAGATGGCATTATGCAACCTCAGTAGATGTAGTAGGATGTCCCTGGTGATCCCAATGACTTGTCTCATTCTACACCAGTGGGGATTGTACATTTTTTACTTACTTAATGTTTTTATTCCTTTTTATAGGGTTTTTTAGATGTGTATATGTGTGTGTGTTGAGTCTACATATTTAAAATGTTTATTAACTTTGTGTATTTTGCCATTTTTAGCTTTTAAAATTATTGTTCATATTCCGGCCTTCTTATCCTGGTCTATGTCTGTAATAAAGATTTGCTTTGTTTTGACAGTGGAGGCAATTGTAGAGGTATTCTGGTCTCAAATTACTAAAAGCCTTGGAGGTCATAACAAAGCCTGTCACAGAAGCTAAATGGCAGCAGTGTAGCTTCAGCAAAGGACTAGACTGTGTATGATCAGATGCCACATATAGCAATCTGCTGCATTTAGATCAATGGCAGCAGTCAGATCGAGTGCAAGGGTAGGACCACATAGAGCGCATCAGGGTAATTTAAACATGACGTTCCTAGATTATGAACATCTATGACTAATAGAAAGTGGTGGACCTCTGGGCTTTTCCAATCCCATACCTGAGAACATTTTTGACAGTTCAAAGAGAAAACTGGGCAGCAGGATTAGATAGCAAGATGGGATCTGTCTTACTAAATAGCGCTCAGGGAAAAAAACCTCATAGCTTCCTGAGATCAGACAAGTTTTCTGAGGAGTGACATGGTATCCCTATGGATCAAAGGAAGGCTCAACTCCAGAGCCTGGCTTCATGCTACACGTCTGTACCATCCAGCATAACCACCTATTTTTCAATAATACAAGCCAAGTTGACTCTTTCATCCAGGAATTAATGAGGTTTTAGTGTGAATTGTGATGTAGCACTCATTATCACGAGAGAGAAAATCAGCAATTGTGCCATCCAGGATGGCTACTACAAGTGCTTTAGAGACTTACAAAGTGCTGCTACATAAACACTGCAGAATACTTAAAAACACAATTTTGTATTGGAATCTCAGGCACAGCACATTCCTAACATACATAACCCAAACAAAATAGATAGCTGTCAGAAATGAGAATATGCACAAACATATATTTACACTCATGTTCATCATACATGTATATATGGAATCAAACACTTACCAATCTTCCCAGCTCCAACGGAACTCAAAATTACTAAGATGGTGGGAAAACCAATTCATAAACCTTGATGGGAGAAAAAAAAATCTCCTCAGACTTTTATATCAAACCCTTTTTATTTTGCAGTGCTATTATTGACATTACATCCAAATATATAAAATAACTGGTGGTCAAGTCTGAGGAGATGCAAATTCTTAAAAACCAAAAGACAGAAAATGTCCAATATATTTATAGTAACAGAATCTTTTGAAGAGTTATCTCAGAGGCATCTGCATGCTTTGCAAATGCCTTGATAGAGCTTCAGACCCTGCATATTCTAAAGTACCTATTTTGAATCATTTTCAAAGAATTCATAGCCTTACATCCAATAATAATTGGGTAGCTCTCTTCTAGATTTTAATATGTCTTATTTTTTTATTAGCAATCTAACTTTGCAGTGAGCTCTAACTAGTTGACTACAAATGCTATATAAGAAAGTTCCAGAAGCAGCTAATAGAAGAAACAATTTATTCCAATACTAATTAAATAAGAGAAGATCTGTAAAACAGGAGCATTTATAACTAGATTTTGTTGCGCTAAATAAGCCCATGTCACTAAGTTCTCAGAAAATTTAGATGAGAATGTCCTTACTCACCGATCTATGCAGATGGTATTCATTGTATCTAAGCGCATGTACAGCATTTCCGTACCTTGTGCAAGCTATCATTTTTCAATTAAGATTTAAAATATTTATGTTAAAATGTTTAATTACAATATGGTTGAAAACAGAACATTATCAAAAGGTATTAACTGTTACAAGAGATTTTTGTAGAAAAGGATACAACTTGAGGTAAAGATCCAGGCTGAAGTTTACAGAGTTCAATAAAAAGCGTAGTGTACATGATTTCCGTGTGAGGCGGAATAGGAAGCTGAAACAACTCAGCAAAAATTACCTGGGGAAAATATGAAAGCAATATAATGAAGTATATTCACAAAAGCAGAGGTGTACAGAATATTTCATTGTCAGAAACTTCCAGTGTTAAAATGCCCCATTCCAATCCCACAATGTACTTTCTAGGGCGTACCAGAAATGGTCTGAACTCAAAATAGGTCATTTCAAGGTCCATTGTGAGATGAGGAACTATTTGCAGAGAGGAAGATCATTGGCACTAAATAAGAAAAAGCGACATGATAAATATAGTGTTTACCTCAACAATGTGGTAATTCAGAGGGATCTTGTTGTTTCCTGGATAGCTGGTTAATTGGGAAGCACTACAGAAAAAGATAGGTGTATAATTCAGAATAAAAAAGGCAAGCAGAAAGTAGGTAGACAGACCCCTTGCAAAAAAACTACTTTTTAGTGATATGTGCCGGGACCCACTCCTTCAAAAAAAACCTCTTTCCCTGCAGGAAGCAAGTCTTAGAAACAGTTGCCAAAGGTTCTGCACCATGCAGTGTCAGTTCCTCTTTGAATAGACTGATATAGAAATAGATATGACAGCTCCAGATGCCATTAATAACCAGGGAAGAAGCTCCTTCAAAATCAATATTCACAGTTAACAAACATGATGTAAAACTGCATTTTAAAGCATTAACTTAACCCACAAAGTTTTAAAGAACACTTCTCAATGTAGGGAAAACAGATCAATATCACTTTTCTAGGCTGTTCTCCACTAATACTTAAATTTTATATGTAATGGCTAATGGAAGTTCATCTGGATCCATTTAATTTCCATCTCTCCCTCCCTCCCTCTGTTCCTGACAACAGTGCAACACAGCCAGTTATGAATGTAGACTTCCTATCAGCAATTTTGCTTGGATAAAACTGTAACTGATTTGTGCAAAAATACTTTTTATTTATTGCAAAATATTTTGAATTAAAATAAACTTTTTGCCACAGTATCCAATCTGATTGAAATTGTTGATAATTATTTACACAAGGAAGCAAAGAGCCCTACCATGTCTTTCTCTCTTTCCAAAATGATCTGATGATGCAGTGGAGGTTTTCTTCAATCACAAATCTTTCAACAGAGTGGCTCCCAGGCATAACTGGTCCCTGACAAAAAAAAGCAACAGAGGTTAATTTATTGGCACAGCCCAAAAATCCATCTTCATCCCAAAAGGCATGATGTGTGGTCACATATTGGCATTATAACATCTTCCCTACAGTTTTAATAAAATAGTTTGTGGGGATGTAATCTTTATAATGTACTTTTCAGCATACAGAAAGTTCAGTTGCCCCACTCTGATTTTTGAGGAAAGGAGGGGAAGAGAGGGGAGGAGGGGAGGGGAGGGGAGGAGAGGAGAGGAAAGGAGAAAGGAGGGGGTCAGACACAAGTGAACAATAACATTTTGAACATGATAAAACTGTCTGAAATGGAGCCATGTACAAAAGATGAATATCTTATTGCTAAAATGTTAACATTGGAAACAGAAGATGAAGTAGTTAAAATTGTATGATAAGCTGGGTGAACAATTTTCAATAAAACATACAAATTGATCAATTGGGAAATATGTGGATAAAAGAATTGAAATTTACTTTATGCTCTAACCTCAAGGAGAATTTCTATAAAATGATGTATAGATGGTATTTATACCCAGATAAATTGTCTAAAATGTATAAAAGTTACCCAAATAGTTTTGGAAAGACTGAAATAGGAATCTTTTATCACCTTTGGTGGATTTGTAAAAGGCTAGACAATCCTGAAGAGAAATTAATAATATAATTCAAAAAAAATGAAAATTAATATACAGTTTAGACCAGAAACTTTTTTGTTGGGCTATATGGATAAAAAGTGAAAAAATTACACAGTGTTATATTGTTTTATATCAGGGGTCTCCAAACTTGACAACTTTAAAACTTCTGAACTTCAACTTCAGCATGGCTGGGTGGGGAATTCTGGGAGTTGAGGTCCACAAGTCTTACAGTTGCCAAGTTTGGAGACCCCTGTTCTATATGATAATAGCAGCAAAACTTTTATAGGCTCAGCATTGGAAAGATCCTACAGTACCCACAATAGAGGAATGGTTAATAAAGATGACAGAACTAGCAACCATGGCTAAGTTAACAACTGTCCTGAGAGAAAAATCATTGAAGACATTCATCTGTAATGAAAGCCCTTTGTGGACTCTTTGCAGGAGATGCAGAAAAATCTAATTTTGACATTTAAATTGTTAATTGTTAAAATTTAAAAAGGGGAAAACATTTTTTTTTATTTCTCCTTATCTTTCGGGGGTAAAATGGACATTTTATTACAGTCTTAAACTAAAAGTTGAAGTAAGTGTTCTCTATATCCTTAGAAGTCAGAAATCATTCTTTGTATATATTTCTGTCTTTTTTTCTATATACTTTTTCACACTTCTATCCCTATTCTCTTTTACTCTTTATCGTTTTTTTATTGTTAGTATATGTGGTTTTTAATGTGTATGATTTTTAAAATGCAATAAAATTATTTGATAGAGAAGTCAGTGAGCTGGAAACTACTTCTATAACTACTTCTTCTATACTAAGAATACTTAGTATTTTCATTTAGAAGCAGCCTTTTCCTACTCTGAGAAACAAAATGAACAGAACCTCAAAAAGCAGTGGTACATGGAGTAAAGGGAGCTATTAGAAAGACAAAACAAACACTGAACCATTTAAACCCTGCTAAAGAATTTGAAGCAAATTCTCAACTAGTTTCAGACCAAATAATGACCCAACCCGAACAGTCAAAAGGCAAAGGGGCATATTATATGGAACCCACCAAAGACAAAAACATTTCATTTCCCAACAGACAACGCACCACAGGGATGTTGCCCCACATCATTAACTTACTTCAGGATCATCAGTGTAGTCAAACATTCGGAAGGTGACTCTTGGCATCGGGTAAACGGAATCTGCGGTGTGGGGTGGGGGCGTAAAAGGAGGCAGGTTGTGCTGCAGCGCTTCACAAAGCACGCTGTCAAACGCCAGGTATGGCCTTGGAATGTGCCTCTCTTGCCAGTGGTCCTTCTTCATTTTCTGAATCTGAGCCCAAAGGCAATCTAAGTACTGGAAGGCAACAGCATCTGTCAGACATTTTCAGAATTCAAGGATGTTCCCAAAGCAAGACTGATTTCCGTGCTATAGGAAATCACCCTTCCCAATTTTCTTAGGAACCATTTCAAGGGGAAAATTCAGAATAAAGAAAAGCCATTGGGAAGACTTTCTCACTAGAACAGTGTCAACTTCATGCAGACAAAACGGGAATTATGCATTTCCACTAATGTTTGTTCAGATGGATGTGAGGGCAGGCATTCAAAACCCTAATCATATTCACCTCTTCTTGTGGATGTGGTTTATCAGCAGACCAAACTTGTAGCATGGGCACGTGGTTCTTCTGACGCCGTCTGCCATAAAAGAACGTAATCATTTTAAGGACCACTGATAATTGGTTTGCACTTTAACTCAGAAAGATTCTGAAAGTAACAGCACTTTATCCAAACCAGATAGTACATCTCAATGGGCAGGAGGCATTGGGAAAAGTATATTATGATCTCCTCTGTGGTAGACATTAAAAGTAAATGCCAGTTTTCAGCAAAACTATGGTCATGTGAGTATGTGACACTGCAAATGGACATAAATGCCCAACATGCAGTCATGTGATCAGGGGAGTGGGGATCAGAACTTTGGAAGTGGGTTGCAAGTTCTCCCAGAGAGATCCGTAATAACCTTGAACAGTCGCTAAATGGTCATTCGTATGTCGACTGTATGCACTTTCAATGACCGGATTCCTAACTAATGTGGGTTTTTAGGAGAGTCAGTTTGACTACCATGTTGAAAGACACTTGTAGAATCATAGAGTCCAAGACTTACAAAAATTCTCTTGTCAGCCCTATGATCGCTTCAGATCCCTTTTTAAGTAGCAAAACCTGCTTAGTGTTTTCCAGGAATTCCCACTCATTTGTTCTAGTCCTGACCTCAAGATCAGTGGAAAGCAATTATGTTTTCTGCAGAGAGCACGCTTTTCACAAATTTGGGGATTTTATCATTCTTCTTCTTGAGCATCTTTCTCCATACGAAGAATGCAGAACTATTTTTAATGTGTTTTTGTTTGAAAAAGGAACAAAACTAACTTGGTTTTCACCTAAAAGTCTGAAAATATTACCTCTAGATTTAACAGTCAAGAAATAGCATTCCCTGTTATGAAGTCTACAAGTTCTGTGTTCATGCTCTATTAAGACATAATGACACAAAGAAACATTTTCTTACTTCAGATAGTTTTCAACAGTAGACAAGATCTGCTCCATTTCAGTATCCTTTTTCTCATAGAGCTCCTTCCCCACCCAAGGTAAGGATGACAGAAACGCATACACATACCAGTCACATCGCACCTGTTAGTAAAAATATGGACAAAACGCAATCAGAAAATACTTCTGGTTTTTGCCATAAAAGCTAAATCAGGTCAAAGATTTGAGATTTACAGGAACCACTACTGTATTTATGATTCCACAACTCTAACTCTAATGTTATGA